TTTGTTACAGGAATTATATGCTATAGGAGAGGTGAGCAAAGTTTTCACAGAATGCAGCCATTTTTGAATTGCCCTTTAATATCCTTTGGGAAGGCAATTTTACACTTTGGGCAATATCCAACTAAATAGTGCAAAGATTTTTGCTTCTGCAACAGAGCTTCTCCCTCTCCTCTTCCCATATGCCCCTAAAGCTGTTTCCCCACCCTCTTGAGCAGATGAAGGGTGCAGGGAGAAGTTACAGCAAGCAAGTGGAAATCCTTGTGCTGGCAATTCTGTTGTTAGATACTGCTCTATCTATGTAAATATTTTGAAGCACTTTTCATTCAGATATATAGCATCCAAAGCAGCTTCCAATATAAAATAATACAGTGGCTTGCATTCTGTATCCAAACAGTCTGCTTCTGGCAAAAGGGAAAAGGGTTTTTTTTGCAGATCTCCTTCCTGTGGAGCTTCCAGCACCCGCTCCTGTGTTGTTCAAGTGGGTTCTGCAACCATTGAGCAGATTTTCAAAGGGCAGGGATAAAGTGGAATGGGAGGGAACAGCTTTCCGCATTCCATCGGTAAGAATGTTCCATAAGGAACTCCACTCACAGGAAGTTAGGATCCAAGTCAGTGGTACCCGAAAGAAACAATCATGATCGTGTTTAAAAAGCAAACGAAACAAAACATTAGTTTAAAAGTACAGCATAAGACCAGCCAGAATAATAAAATGGCAGGAGGGAGATAATGATAAAAGCTGTGAAATGGATAGCTTTCACTGAAAGTTATTGTGTGGGGTTCAAAGATAAAGTTAAAGTTAAAAAGAAAATTAATGTGTGGTAGCTCCAAAATGTTGAGAGCAGCCCACTTCAGTTCAGCCCATTTCATACAAGAATCTCCTCAGTTGAGAAACAAGTCCAAATGCATTTAAAGTGGACCACTTCACCTTTGAGTAAATACATGCAAAGTTTGTTTGGCCTTCTCTTAATGGCCACTAGGTAATTTTTCTTCACAGGATGACAGCAATTTATAGCGTAATGCCATAGTACACATGGTTTCTTAAATATGATAAAATCTCATGAGCAAAATCAAAGACAAACTAAAAGATGTTTTCTGTAAAATAAGCAATCCATATGTAATCCAAGCATAGCTACTATTTGTACTGTGGTGATTCTTCTGCCGAAGATGGAAAATATTATGAATTTTATATTTCTTGCTAAGGCAAATGGTATCTGAACTCCAAGAAAAAGACCTACCCGACTTAAGAAACAAATTACAGACACTCAACAGAGATATTCAACAACTTAAAGGTGATACAGAAGAACAGGAAACCCTCCTAGGTACTATAATGACCGAGGAGGAAAGTGCTAAAGCATGTCTGCAAGATATTACACTTATGGAAAGATATCAGGTAAGGCAGGGGTGCCTGCAAGTTTTTTTTGGCTCAGTGCATGGATTTGGCCACCCCCTCCATCCACTGTCTTTTGGCAATAACTTCTGTTTATGTGGATTTTAAAAACCAAAAAAAGTCTAGTTCAATGTGATCTCTTTCTCTCTCATTTCTCCACCAGCACTCAGCTAGTGCGTGTAATTTCAAATCCACTGCCACCACTTGATACCATCAGCACTTGATACCGAGCAATGACAAATCAACCCAATCTAGACTACAACTGTCACAACTAGAAAGAAAAAGCCATATGTACAGAGCAGATAATCACACAAAAGTTAGTCAAGCCATAGTAATGTGCTTTATAGTATCAAAATATAAGCATATAGAAGACTTTCCAGAAAACATCTGCTCATTTTAGAGATGGAAACATAACACTTAATTGTAAGAGATGGGGAAAAAATGTTAAAAGCCTGAAAGATTAAAATTTTGATAGATTATAACATAGTCTCTAAATTCCAGCTGGTGAAGACAGACAGGAGGATTCAAACTTGCCAGAGAAATTTGGAGTTCAATACAATGTGAATGGATAGAGTCTATCCAGATAGCTAAATACGTATATTAAAAATAATAACAAATACACTGAAAAGACTCATGCTTCATCCCTGTGCACACTGACATGGGCTGAATGTAGTGTAAACATGCATAAGATTGTACTAACACGTAATAAATGTACTCACAAAATACAGTTTTTATTTCCCCATTTTAATCTTAAATATCTCAAAGGGTAGATCTATGGGTCATACTAAAACTTGACTCCCTCCTTGCCTCTCAAAATCTGAAAAAGGTTTATTTAGGCAACATCTCTCTCCTTGGTTCTTTCACATCTTTGCATACTTTCTCCCTCTCATGCCCTTGTCTCCTGTAAACCAAAGCAAATTCAAAGGTAATGGAGAAAGCAGCTTCTCTAGGATCTAGGTGTATATGTCTGTGCTCAAGATTATGAGGTGCCACACCACCACTTGTGGGCAGTGGGCGGATGAACAAACCCCCTGGCCCTGCTGCCATGGGCTACAAGTCCCTGCTTTGTTAATTGCTTCAAGTAGGTAGTATCTTGCCTCTTCCTCCTCTGCCAGCCTCTTGGAAGATGATGGTGTGGGGAGGGCAGCCTTTAGGGACAAATGGTGCAGGGAAGGCTGCAGTAAGTGGAGCAACGGTGGTGAGGGAATTGCTAGCCTGGGACCTGAGCAGGCAAATGACAATAGCAGCTGCCCTGACCTTCATGCCCAGAACATCAGTACTCTGTATCCCTCCTTTGGTAAGGATACTACAAAGGTTTGATTGCATATTAATCTCATGTGCCCCCATCCAGCTCTTCTTCCTCTGTTTAGCAGTTAACGTAAAAGCAGTCTGCAGTGGGGATATGAGAAGCCTGTGTAGGCTTCACATTCCTCCACAGCATATGCGCTAAATGCACCAGGTCATTATAAGCAAGAGACCGCTGTGTTAGTGTCTTAAGGGGATTACTATACGTATAGCCACTTGTACCTACCAGGTACTTGACTGCATCCCAACAGCGATATCAAGCACTTCAAGAATATCAGTATTCAAGAATATCAATATTGGCCTCTTCATTTTCAGACTGATCTAAAGGATGTTGAACGAAAAATTGCTCAGCAGACTGCTAAACTACAAGGAGTGGATTTAGGTCGGACCCTGCTACAAGTAAGCCAGGAGAAGCAAGAGAAGAAGCACCAGTGGGATACAGGTGGGGTGTTTTGAAAATGTTTTAGATTATTCTTGTAACAAGACACTGAATTCTATTTCTTCATTTCCCACATGGATGTAAAAAGCCCACTGGCAACATACCAGATCGTACCATTTTCACACTCCTAGAAATATAATCCTTTTAGGATATTCTAGCACTACCAGAAGGGGGTGGAGTGGCAACCAATGGAACATCTTTAATTCTTACAAGCAGATGGCATTGCTGTGATCCCATCAACTGTTTGAAATACTTGTCAAACTTTTATTCACAAACCTAAGCCACTTCATATTCCATGTATTCTTCAATGGTATAGAGCAGGCATATCCAACTCCCAAGAGGTTGTGATCTACTCCCAGTATAAAAAAACTGGCAGTGATCTATCCATTGTCATTGGAGGGGGGAGGAGTGTGTGTGGGGTGGGTGGATTGTGCAGAATTGTTGAGCCTTTTTTAGGAGGGAAGTACCCAGAGTTGTTGAGCTTTTTCCCACATAACGTTTGTACATAATAAGGATCCTGTGATCTACCAGGATCAGCTGGGGATTGAACAATAGATCACAATCTACTGGTTGGACATTCCTGGTATAGAGTCAGTTGTCATATGGTTTTTCATCTTTATAGGAGGACTAGAAACTTCTTAAAAATAAAATAAAACGATAGCTTAGAGTCTGGGGCCCTTGCCTGTGGTGACCCTGGTTATAATTCAGTTCAGAAATCTATGGGGACCGTTTTTCACCAAATCAACATTTGCCACCCTCAATATAGCAAGTAGTAACCATTTTTCCACATATGCAGTCTTTAGTTCTATTGTCCTCTATGAAAGATTGTCACAGTATTACAGCAAGATCATTAAAAACTTTGTATCTCTCTAAAAGTCTTGCCAGATATATTTTTGACTACCACACAACCTCATGTATCTTTTCTTTTGAATAGGATAAATTTGTGCTCTTCAGTGTTAAAGGTAATGATCAGTTTTCATCTAAGATGTATTCTCTGCTTTATGACATCATGCGTGCCTTTAATTACATTTGCAGTTACTGGTAAAATTGAATTGAAGCAGACTCTTAAACAAGACCAACAAAATCAAGTCCAGAATCTGAAGAGTGCAGTGAATGAGCTGCAAACAGAGAAACTTGAAATTTCCAGTCGTATGCAACGTCGACAGCAGCTGGAAGAGCAGCTAGTGGAGCTGACCACTGAGTTGCAATCCTTGAACAGAGAGATCAAGGTAAGAGGAACAGCTCCTAGGCTGGTGTGGGTTGTTTCTTCTCACATTTCAGTTTTGCTGAGCGTCACACAAAAAATCAGCCAAGCCATTAAAAAGTTAAAATGTGCATATATAGAAGTAGTGACAAACTTCTAATTTAAAATATACATATTGGTGGTTTGTTTTTTGTTTTCAGGAAGCAAAGGAGCAGCTATTTCCGCTTGAAGCAACTTTAGAAAAACTGCAACATGAGAAAGAAGAGTTAATAAGCAAAAAGAACACAAGTTACAAAGTGACACAGGAGAAGGTTAGACAGCCTGTCTTCAGTTGTTTTGTTAAAATAATGCAGCCTCTTATTGCAGTCAAAGATACATACCAAATTTTCCGGTCTATAAGACGAGGTTTTTTACCCATTTTTTAAGGTTTAAAAATGTGGGGTGCCTTATCTATGGAATATAGCAATTAAATATATAAATAAAGACGGTACTTGCTCTAGCATTCGCAGCTCCTGGCAGTGCCGAGCCACGGGTCCTCCGTAGTCCGCTTGGCTCCTCCCCCTCTGCCCGCCCTACAGCTGGGAGGGAGGCTGTAGGCTGTTCGTTTTTGCCATGCAGCAAAAAATGAAAGGGGAAGGTTGGAAGGCTGCCTGCAAAGTGGAGCTGCTGATCGAAGATATATCTCCCCTCTGTGCCTTTCCTCCATGGGAAAGGCACAGGAAAGGCACAGAGGGGAGAAATAGCTTGATCGGCACTTCCACTTCGCAGGCGGCCTTCCACCCTTCCCTCTTCGTTTACAGAGTTTGCATGGGTGGGGGGAGGCTACGGAATAGCAGGCGGCGCGATGTTACTCAAGAGGAGCCGTGAAAATTTCTGCACTGCTCGTGTCGCAGAAACCAGCGGCAAGCAGGTGGGCTAATGGCGGCGATCAGGCAGCTGCAACTTGGGGAGTTGTGTGCTGTGTTCTGGCGGGTGAGCGATTTTCAGCATTCCCCCAAATAATCCTCCCCAAAAGCTCAATCCCCCCAATTTTCTAAATTCTGAGGCCCCCAAAATAGGGGGCGTCTTATAGACGGAAAAATAGGTTCGCTTCCAGGTTAAAGTACAATTAGTATTTTTAAGTGTATTTGAACAATATGTTGTCGTCTTTGAGCTAGATAGATAGATAGATAGATAGATAGATAGATAGAAAGCTATGCATGTCTTGGAAGCAAACATATTTTTTTAATATGTTTTTTTCACAGATAAATGAGATTAAAGAGAAAATTAAAAATATCCATAACTATATAAAAGAGATTGAGAACTATATTCAAGAAGGGAAAGAAGAATATAAACAGGTAATTGCAAATATGATAATACCCTCTGTAGAGTAACCTGTTCCTTCCACTGTCAGCACTGACAGAGAAACCGGAATCCTCAACTTCACTTTTTATAATGAAAAAAAAATAGGGTCATCTAGCCCAACCGCCTCTTACCTTAACACAGACACTGGCTCTCTCCTCCTGATCTTCACCAGCAAAGTATTGTTAACACAGTGGGGATGAAAAACTTAATACGCAGGCCTTAAGTGTCCACTTTCTTGTTGACTTCCTCTGGATTTTGCCTTATCAACTTCCTCTGCTCCCTTTCCCAACTCTCAGCTAGCTTCCCATTATTCACTTACAAGAACCTTCATCCAATCAGAGTCTGTTGTTTCTCAGACAAATCAGAATGAATTTACCTGATGCAGCCCCCATCTATAAATATCAGACATAAATATTAAAAATGATCACTTCCCTCTCATCTTTCAGAACCAGTTGTCAAGTAGCTTCTGCTAAACAGACTGCAACTTAGTAATAGTATACATAATAATAGCATATACCGCAACATCAGTGGTCACAGAAACCTATTTTTCAAAACACAGAACACAAACAGCATTTCTTCACACCTCCAAAATCATGTTATTTTTTTTCATCTCTGTGTTTTCCTTTTTTAGCAAAAGGAATCTGAACTTGATGAAGTCAAGGATCTGCTAGCAGAATGTGAGAAAAAGAAAGAAACGACAAATAAAGAAATTGGAACTATTAGACAAAATATCGATACTCAGAAGGTACATTTGTCTAGTTCAGATATTTTTCTCAAATATTGTTGATATCTATGCATAGTAGACAGTAGTCTTTGTTTTCAAAGTAGCCTTCTGTATAATTCTGACATACTTAACAGCAGCATTAAGGGCCTGAGAGAACACTCCTGTGAGTCAAACGTCCTGCAAATAAGTTTGAAAAGAAAGTATTTTTTATTGAAATCACTCGATATGTTTTGGCAGCATGCACGTTTTGCACGTATCGTCAAGTTGAATTGGTCATGTGCCTCTGATTGACCAGTTAGCACAACAATTTAACTTGTGACATTGCAAAGTATTTTTTCAATGCTATATTAAAAAATCCCCTAATAGGGAAATCTGGCTTGCTGATACACTGCTCCAGAACATGTGATTGCTACTCACTAATATCCCCAAGAAGCCCAATTCAGCACTGCAAATCAAGGAGCTAAGGAACTTATCCTTCCTTGTGCCAGTTCCACCTGCTCTGTCAAATGCTTTTACTGGGTCCGATGACATATGTCATGCTACGTATTCATCTGTAGGTATACTAGCATCATATGTTATCAACCCACATTATTCTTTGGTTATTTCTAAAGAGGGGGTGGGCATGAATAATGCATTAAATTGAATATGTAGCAATAAATAAAGGAGCATTTCATTCACCCTGAACCAGGAATCTTTTACATTTGACCTTTGAATTAGCCACCACTGTATCTCAAGTTATCATACTACATTTTTTATCTACTCAGTGCTTCTTGTAAAGTACGTTCTTACTAAGCAAAAGGTTATTTCACATTAATTCAATTAGATTTTGAAGTTCTGCTACCATTTTCCTTTTGAGAACTTAAAAGACCTTCATATCTCTATTTATTTTTTTAATGCCCCATCCCAAAGGCTGAGGCAGGTGACAAAACAGTAATCTTTTTACTGGATTGGTATGTGTTGGTATGGTTGTTTTTAATTATCATTTATTTTGTTCTTTCTGCTTGTCAGATGTTAGGGTTCAACTCTGATTTCAGTTAAAATTACTGAAAGACCAATTCTGTGAATTAATATCTGTTGTTTTTCATTGGTGATTACTCTCAGTTAAATGTATAAGATTGCAGCTAAAAGTACCAATTAAAATACAAGTACAGTGGTGATTAAAAAAAAACACTGCTATGTTTTGTATAGTAAATACATAGCCCATTTTTAACTACAGCTCATGCTTTATTCAGAGATGCTGTAGTAGTGGATTTCCTGTACAGTGGTACCTCGGGTTAAGTACTTAATTCGTTCTGGAGGTCTGTTCTTAACCTGAAACTGTTCTTAACCTGAAGCACCACTTTAGCTAATGGGGCCTCCTGCCGCCACCGCGCCGCTGGAGCACGATTTCTGTTCTCATTCTGAAGCAAAGTTCTTAACCCAAGGTACTATTTCTGGGTTAGCAGAGTCTGTAACCTGAAGCATATGTAACCTGAAGCATATGTAACCCGAGGTACCACTGTACTGGCATTGGAGTTAACTAGACTGTCTCTGAAATCCCTTCCAACTCTCTTCTCAAATAGTCATGGCACAAAATGATGATGATTAACTCACTAATATATTTTATTTGAATTTAGATTCAGGAGCGGTGGTTAGAAGATAACCTTACTTTAAGAAAAAGAAATGAAGATCTAAAAGAAGTCGAAAATAGTATAAAGCAATATTTGAAGGAGATGGGGGAAATGGAAGTCCCACAACTGAAAAGGTATCTTCTGAACTTCCTTTTAAAAGAAAAAAAATAATTTCTTAATTGCAAAGCAGTAGACCTTAATTATTTGCATATTTACCACTTTTCCATACCTGGTCCTAGCTAGTAGTCCACAAGTATTTGCATATTCACCATATCTTGATAGATACTTTTCTTGTAGACCAAACTTTTTTTCTCCTTTGCTTAGATAATCTAAGTTTCTAGTTTTGTATACTGTGGTCAACCTTGTAGCAACTACAGCATAAGCAATTTGATTATACTGAGAAGAGTGATTTTAAATACTGTATAGGCTAGCATGCACCATGTGAACTACTTTTGGCAAGCTTCTGGTGATACTTTCTAAGTCAAATTCACCTGTAAACACCTAAATTTATGCACGATCACACTTGACCTCTGTAATCTGTCCTCAGTACTAGGCTTCCTTATTCTCACAGTGTAACTCAGTGGGTGAATTGCAAGTTTGATTATGCCCCAATGCCTCAGATAGGTTGGGTTTTTTTTTAAAAAAAATGGCTAACAGTGCACAAATATTATATCTTTGGTACTCTAAGAATATAATAGTAGTCTTACTGGTTCTAGAACCCTGATCACAGATGATTCTGTCTCTTGTGGGGAGCCTAAGCAAATACAGAAGGCTTCCCACTACTGGTGTTTGCCCTGACCAAATGGGAACAAGGGACTAACCATGCAACAATAGGTGAAGGTCTAAAGACGCAGTCCCTTTGAAATTGTGTTGCTCCGTCATGCGAATAACTGAATAGGGCTTTAATCCAGTGTCTTTTCTTTAGCGGGGGCCAGATGGTTGGCCCAAAAGCAGGGCATGTGTCATGTTTAAAATGCATCTTGCATTATTTAACCATGTCTCTCGTAAGTTAGGAACCCTAATGAAGCAGAAACACCATGACCAACCTGTGTATTTAACCTAGCAGGCTTACTAGAGACATTTATGCTTATCATTCTTTATAACAGCCTCCCCCCCCCCATTTTTCTCAGCAGCTGATATTAAGAGCTGTGCTGCCTCTGGTGTTGAAATTTCCAGTTAAGGTTGATAGTTAAAAGCCATTGATAGACTAATTCTCCATGGGTGTAATCCGGTGGAATGAGGAGCAAGATCCCATGTCCCTGTAAAACTAGATGGTCCCCAATCTTATAGAGCAAATGTAGAGGAGATGCAGGGCATTGCATGCAAATGGTAGGAAAGATTGCTGGAAATTCCCTCCCTCCTTTCCTCCCTGTTCTGCTGACAGTCCCCCCCCCCCCCCTGGTCTTTGAATGCCACCCAAGCAAATCTGTCTAAACATTTTAGGCCCAACTGAGACTCATTTTAAATGCACTACCATTTATTTCCATCCTTTTCTCTTTCCCTCTTTGTGGCTCGGTTAAGTTATTATAAACAACATCAAGCAATTAACTCATGGTTAAGAAATCACTTTCTGTTTACCACTATGATAGATAATAAAGCTGTATATTGACTTCTACTTGACAGGGACCGACAGCATTTAGAGGAGAAAATAGAAGAATTGAAAAGAAAAGAAAGCTTGGCGCTTGGTCGACAGCATGGATTTGAGGAAGAAATCCTTAGGTTTAAGAGAGAGCTGAGAGAATCACAGTTTAAAGATGCTGAGAAAAAATACAAAGAAATGATGATTGACATGAGAACAACGGAGTTGGCAAACAAGGATCTGGACATTTACTACAAAGCACTGGATCAGTGAGTTGTTTAAATAGCATGTTGGGTTTGGTAACTATCAATTAATCAATTATCTCCCCAAGGAGAGCTTTAAAATTTAGCAGGCTGAATTTTTAATCCCCTTATTCCTGAGAGGCAAGACAATAGGTATATTTTATTGTCTTGCCTATTGGTATCTATAAATGTTACTCCTAGCCTTCAGAATTTGGGATGAAGGTGAATACATTTTTTAAAAATGTTACATGTA